CTAACTCCGACAGACTTTGAGAAAGTCATTGACAGCATGCCCATATACTCAGCCCCAGGCCCAGACTGCGTGGAACTCTGTGTTCATTAAGAACTGCAAGAAACCCCTTTCGCGTGCCCGAAGTATACTATGAAGAAGGAGTTTAGACATGGGTGAAATTCCACATTCACTAAAGACAGCGGATATAGCCCCACTTCCACAAAGGTGGCAGCAAAGCATTAGCTAAGAACTATAGACCAATAGCTCTAACGTCCCGCATCATAAAAGTCTTTGATAGAGTGCTAAGAGGCACGATTGCAAGCCACTTGGATTCCCAAAAACTGAACAATCCAAGCAACATGGGTTCAGGGCAGGTCGCTCCTGCCTCTTACAACTACTGGATCACTATGATATGGTCTTGGATGCACTAGAAGAAAAACTGAATGCAGATGTAACATACACAAACTTTGCAAAAATCTTTGACAACTGCGACCACGGCGTAATAGCACACAAAATACGTGCTAAAGGAATAACTGGCAAAGTGGAGAGGTGGATCTTCAACTTTCTAACCAATCGAACACAAAGAGCAGTGGTCAACAGAGTTAAATCGGAAGCAGCCATAGTGAAAAGCTCTGTTCCACAAGGCACAGTACTCGCCCCCATCCTGTTCCTCATCCTTATATCAGACGTAGAGATGTAATCCACAGCATCGTGTCATCCTTTGCAGACGATACTAGGATCCGCATGAGACTGTCATCCGTAGAGGGCACGGTTAACCTCCAAGAAGATATAAACCAAGTTTTCCAATGGGCAACGGAGAACAATATGATGTTCAATGAAGACAAATTCCAACTACTCCGCTACGGAAACCTGGAAGAGATAATAACTAAAACAGAGTATACTACAAACTCTGATCATACAGTAGAGCGGAAAAATAATGTGAGGGACCTGGGAGTTGTAATGTCTGAGGATCTCACTTTCAGTGATTACAACAGTGCCACGATCACAGCTGCAAAGAAAATAATAGGATGGATAATGAAAACATTCAAAACAAGAGATGCCAAGCCAATGATGATCCTTTTTAAATCACTTGTTCCCTCTAGGCTGGAATATTGCTGTACATTAACATCTCCGTTCAAAGCATGTGAAACTGCAGATCTAGAGAGTGTACAGAGAACGTTTACTACACATATAAGTTCTATCAAACACTTCAACTACTGGGAACGCTTGGAAGCACTTGACTTTTACTCGCTGGAACGCAAGCGAGAGAGGATATATCATAATCTACACTTGGAAAATCCTAGAAGGAATGGTCCCTAATCAGCACACAGAAATCACTCCCTATGAAAGTAAGAGACTGGACAGGCTATGCAAAATACCCCAAACGAAAAGTAGGGGCGCCACCGGTACACTAAGAGAAAACACCGTACGTGTCCGGGGCCCAAGACTGTTCAACAGCCTCCCACCATGCATAAGGGGAATTACCAATACTCCCCTGGCTGCCTTCAAGAGGGAACTGGACAGATACTTAAAGTCCGGTGCCGGAATCAGCGGGCTGAGGTTTTCGTAGTGACTGGACTATGTGCGCCCAGCATAACACCTAGTTTGATCTGGCCCTGATCCACCGGAAGCCTGGTCCGAGAACCATGCCGCGGGGGCGTGATGCCCCGGAATTCCCCCAATGTAGACCTGTTGTCAATCCAGCAGGCAGTTGTTAGCACCTGTTGTCATCCAGCAGGCGCTGAAAAAACCTGCTGTCATACAGAAGTGGCTGTTAGCACCTGCTGCCATCCAGCCAGGCACAGTTAGACAATGCGTCATCCAGCAGAAGCTGTTATCACTTCTGTCATCCCAGCATGCGAGAGTTAGCACCTTCTGTATCCAGCAGGCGGCTGTTACACCTGCTTTCTGCTGTTCATCCAGCAGCGGCTGTTAACACATGCTGTCATCAAGAAGGTGGCTGTTAGCACCTGCTGCCATCCAGCAGGCGACTGTTAGCACATGCTATCATCCAGCAGGTAGCTGATAGCACCTTCTGTCACCAGCAGGTGGCCTGTTAGCACCTTCTGTCTTCCCGCAAGGGCTTGTTAGCACTGCTGTCATCCAGAAGGCGGCTGTTAGCACCTGCTGTCATCCAGCAGGCACCTGTTAGCACCTACTGTCATCCAGCAGAAGGCTATTAGCATCTGCTGTCATCCAGCAGGCGACTGTTAGCACCTGCTGTCATCCAGGAGGCGGCTGTTAACACCTACTGTCATCCAACAGGCGGCTGTCAGCACCTGCTGTCATCCAGCAGGGAGCTGTTAGCACCAGCTATCATTCAACAGGCGGCTGTTAGCACCTGCTATCAGTCAGCACGCATCCATTATTCACCTACGTCGTCCCAGCAGGGCGGTTGTTAGCACCTTCTGTCATCCAACAGGCCGCTGTCAGCACCTGCTGTTATCCACCAACTATCATCCAGCACGCGGCTGTTAGCACCTGCTCTCCATACAGCGGGCATCTAATAGCACCTGCTGTCCATCCAGCAGACTAGAGAGCTGTTAGACACCTTCTGTCATCCAGCAGGCCGGCTGTTTAGCACCTACTCTCACCCAGCAGGTGCTGTTAGCACCACAGTCCATCCAGCAGGTGGCTGTTAGCACCTCTGTCATCGCAGCAGCAGCGTGTTAGCACCTTCTGTCAATCCAGCAGGCCCCAAAGCCCTGTTAGTCAACCTACTCTCACCCAGCAGGCGGCTGTTGCACTACGTTCATCCCAGCAGGTGGCTGATAGCACCTGCTTGTCACCCAGCAGACAGCTGTAGCACCTGCTGTCATCCAGCCAGTCGGCTGTAGCAACTTGCTGTCATCCAGCAGTCAGCTGCTAAGCAATTGCTGTCATCCAGAAGCGGCTGTTTCACACCTTCTGTCCTTCCAGCAGGTGGCGTTCTGATGGTTTAGCACCTACTGTCATCCAGCAGGCGGCTGCTAGCACCTGGTGTCATCCGGCAGGCAGCTGTTATCACCTGCTGTCATCCAGAAGGCGGCTGTTAGTACCTGCTGTCATCCAGCAGGCGGCTGATTAGCACCTACTCCACCAGCAGGCGGCGTTTAGCACCTACTGTCATCTTAGCCGGCGGCTGCACGCACCAGGGGTGGTGTCATCCAGCAGGCAGCTGTTATCACCTGCTGTCATCCAGAAGGCGGCTGTTAGCACCTGCTGTCATCCAGCAGGTGGCTGTTAGCACCTACTGTCATCCAGCAGGCTGCTGCTAGCAACTGATGTCATCCAGCAGGCGGCTGTTAGTACCTGCTGTCATCCAGCAGCCGGCTGTTTATCATCCTTTGTCATCCATACAGCGGCTGTAGTACCTGCCTGTCCATCCAGAAGGCGGCTGTTTAGCACCTGCTTGTTCATCCCAGGCAGGTGGCGTGTATAGCAACCTACTGTCTATCCAGCAGGCTGCTGCTAGCAACTGGTGTCATCCAGCAGGCGGCTGTTAGTACCTGCTGTCATCCAGCAGCCGGCTGTTATCATCTATTGTCATCCAGCAGGCGGCTGTTAGCACCTGCTGTCATCCAGCAGGCGGCTGTTAGCACCTACTCTTACCCAGCAGGCGGCTGTTAGCACCTACTGTCATCCAGCAGACGGCTATTAGCACATACTGTCAACCACAACGCTGTTAGCACCTCCTCTCACCCATCAGGGCGTGTTAGCACCTGTCATCCATCAGGTGGCGCTGTTATCACCTACCGTCATCGCAGCGGCTGTTAACATCTACTCTCACCCACAGGCGGCATTAAGCACCTACTGTCATCCAGCATGCGGCTGCTAGCACCTAGTGACATCCAGCAGGCAGAGTTATCACCTTGCGTCATCCATAAGGCGGCTGTTAGCACCTGCTGTCATCCAGCAGGTGCTGTTAGCACTACCTGTCATCCAGCAGCCTGCTGCTAGCACCTCTGACATCCATCAGGCGGCTGTTTAGTACCAGCTGACATCCAGCAGGCTCTGTTACCACCTACTCTCACCCAGCAGCGGCTGGTTAGCACCTACTGTCATCCAGCAGGCCGGCTGTAGCACTGTTGTCATCCAGCAGGCAGCTGTTACCACTTACTGTCATCTAGACAGGCAGCTGTTAGCACTTACTCTTCATCCAGCAGGCCGCTTGTAGCATTTGTTGTTATCCAGAAGCAGCTGTTAGCACCTACTGGTCACCACCCAGCAGGCCAGCTGTTACACCTGCTATCATCAGCATAAAGACGCTGTTAGAACTGCTCTCATCCCAGCAGCCAGCTGTTTGCAATCTGCTGTCATGCAGCAGGGCAGCTGTTCAGACACCTGTTATTCAACATCCTATAGGCAGCTGTTAGCACCTGGTTATCATCCAACAGAGGCAGCTGTAGCACCCTGTTATCACCGCAGGCGGCTGTTAGCACCTGTTATCATCCAACAGGCAGCTGTTAGCACCTGTTATCATCCAGCAGGCAGCTGTTAGCACCTGTTATCATCCAGCAGGCAGCTGTTAGCACTCTGCTTTCGATCAATATTAACTCAATGCCTGTTATTTCAGCACCTCAGTTCAGGGGAAAGAGAGAGAGAGAGAGAGAGAAGAGAAGAAGAGAGAGAGAGAGAAGAGAGATTAGAGAGAGAGAGAGAGAGAGAGAGAGAGAGAGAGAGAGTAATGGGTGTGGTGGGGGGCATGAGAGGGATTACCAGCATTAAATTCATGAGGAAGTGATTGATGCGTATGGGGGTTTAAGCATTTTCTGGAAATGGGGATCAATGAAGTTTGATCCTAGGAAAGCGAGGATGCTTTACTTCCTCGGATCAGGAGCCTTTTATAAGCCTATGGACGGGAGGAGAAAGAGAAATGGGTGAGAGTGGAGATGGGGAGGCAGGATGGGAAAGAAAAATGGGTATAAGGTTAAGATGGGGAGAGAAATGGGTGAGTGGTGATGGGGAGGCAGGATAATGAGAAGAGGTAACAGTGGGGGGGGGGACCACTGGGATATGCTGCAGTGTAAGTGGTAACTTACCTGTGAGGAGGCAGGACGCTGTACAGAGATGGCGGGGAGTGATGTGCGCCTCATAGTGATGGGTGTGGGTGGCGGTGTGGCCAGTCTGATGGACAAACAGTCACCTCTTCCCTTCTGCGTCACCACCAGCAGCAGCACCAGCAGCAAAAGTAGTACCAGTGGAGGTCTGCTGGAGCGAGCGTCGATAGCGGCGCTGTCGAGGAAAAGGTCGACTGGGGTGACCAGGGGACCCAACAGGTGGGAGAACAGCTGTCTGGCGAGGCTGCTGACCAACCTCACCTGCGGTCCACGCCCACCCAACACCTGTACTGTCCAAGGCGACACCTGCTGCGCCCTCGAAGTAAGTACTTGAACCGTCGAAGTCAGCACTAAGACTACCGTGGCCGGCACCACCGAGGTGTGAGTGGGTGGCCCGGGGTCACCAGAGCTAGAGGGCCACCCGCCAGGAGACGAGGGCCACCAGCAGTAGCAAGTGTTGCCCAGGAGTGGTTCACACTTGAACAGGGAGGTCACACTACACGGGAGGGGCCACACTACAGACGGTGCCACCACTCTCACCAGTGCCACCGTTGGATCCACTGACGACTGACCCTGGCACTGACGCGAGCTGCCGCTTCTGGAGACGTCGCTGGCGAGTGGTGACTTCGAGAGTGCCGCTTGCGACTGAAGGCCGCGTGCGGGGAGTCGCTCAGCAGCGGCTGCGGCAGGAGCCGCACTCTGCCGCGGTGTTGAGGGTGGCAGGCAGGAGCGGCGCTCGGCCATAACGCAGTGCCCGCACCGCCATCATGCGGGCGGCATGGCGCGGACGAGCGAGGCGGCGCAGGGGGAGATCACTCGCGGTCTCACACAGGGAGGCGCAGGTCGTGTGCTGCTGCCCTGCACTAGCAAGCTACACTGACGCACCACACGCACACACGCACTCACATACACACACACAAACACACACGCACGGTACACAGGCGCACGCAAGTGCCTGCGCTGTAGACCTGCTCACCACCGCCTCCACACCCCTGCTGCGCACTCCACCTGTTCCTCACCGTCACCCCTCTCTTCCCCTCACCTTCACCACTCTCTTCCCCTCACCTTCACCCCTCTCTTCCCCTCACCACCACTCCTCTCTTCCCTCACCACCACTCCTCTCTTCCCCTCACCACTACCACTCATCTCTTCCCCTCACCACCACTCCTCTCTTCCATTCAATGTCACTCCTCTCTTCCCCTCACCGTCACCCCTCTCTTCCCCTCACCACCACTCCACTCTTCCCCTCACCACTATCACTCGTCCCTTCCCCTCACCACCACTCCTCTCTTCCCCTCAATGTCACCCCTCTCTTCCCCTCACCACCACACCTTCCCCTCACACTCACCCCTCTCTTCCCCTCACCACCACTTCTCTTTTCCCCCTCACTACCAATCCTCTCTTCCATTCAATGTCACCCCTCTCTTCCCCTCACCACCACTTCTTTCTTCCCCTTACCACCACTTCTCTCTTCCCCTCACTACCACTCGTCTCTTCCCCTCACCACTACTCCTCTCTTTCCCTCACCGACACCACTCTCTTACCCTCACCGTCATCCCTCTCTTCCCTTCACCACCACTCCTCTCTTCCCCTCACCACCACTCCCTCTCTTCCCCTCACCCCCTACTACCCATATCCTTCCCTTTTCCAACTCCCCTCTCTTTCTCTCTCTCATCACCCCTCTCCTTCCCTCTCACTAACGCTTCGTTCTTTCCCTTTTACTAACTTTCTGTCATGAATGTCTTCCATCATACCCCTCTCCCCACCCCACACACTCCTCACATTTCATCCCTCTCATTACCTCTCCATCTCCTCTCCCCCTCTCCTCCACCCCTCATCCCTCTCCCCACCCCACCCCTCACCCCTCTCCCCACCCCACCCCTCACCCCTCTCCCCACCTCTCACATCAGGCCACATCCGAAAAAATTGCAGTGCAAAAAAATGGTAACAAGAGTGACACATGAGGTGGGGAAATATCCCTTCACTTCCATGAAAAAACAGCAAGCAACACCGCCCCAATATTCCCCAAAATTTCCCCTAATTAGAAGGGAATATCTACTGAGGGATCAGATATTATTTATAATGAACGGTGCATGTTTGCCTTAAATCGGATTATCTTAAGGCGCTTATGGAATTTGGAGGTAATCAGGTGGTTCCAAGAAAAGCGAGGGTTGCTCTACTTCCTTGCATCAAGAGCTGTTTGTAAGGGACGGGGGGAATATCTGAATAGGACCTCGACGTGTTTGGAGTGTGGAACAGTGTATATGTTGGAAGTCCCTTCTATCTGGACAGCTTCGCCACTGGTCTTGCATGCCATCCTTAGCAACTCGCACAGTGAAAACCGTGCAGACCTTATTGGTCAGCTACCACTCTACTGCAAATACACAGTAGGTGTGACAGGCGGTGTCACGTGTGCCAGTCACAGAAACAGGAACTGCTAGGAGAAAATCGCCATATCAATGCGCACTCACAGCCAAGAAGCAAACTCCCTCCTTCTGGAAAACTGCCTTTTCACTCATCAGTGCAGAACTTTTTTCCGTGATAGGGTTGTCCCAGCTACATTATTTATCTATCATATTATTGCCGTGTATTTTTCAAACAAACATTAATTTTCCAAATAAATGTCTCATCTCATCATTGTCCCAATTAATATGCACACATTGTGGGCCACAGATTGTCTGGTCAGGACTGAGAGAGGATCCCACTGAGTGGTGCCTTCCAGTGTTGCTGAGGTCCTCCTTCCCTGATGACGTCCCGACATATTCTGGAAGAATTTGCTTCAGCGGTTTATTGCATCCAGTGTAGGAAGATAAGACAGCTTCGCCACTGATGGCGAAGCTTTTCAATGTATTTTGGACACTAAGTTTAAGGCGTATCGACTGCATGAGGTCATTAATGCTGCGTGTAAACTTTCTCACCACCAGTCAAGAATACTTTAATCCTCAAACAGATATTAAAGTAAATTCTCAGTGAATATAAACTGAGACACATATTTCTTCTAATAAATGTCCTGGAATGTACATTTTTCCACATCTTGTCGGCATCACCACACCATTTTTCATCGATGTTCCATAGCGTAGCTTCCCACCCACCCTCCTGGACCTGGCACGAATACCAGGATGCATAACAGCACTATCAAGCCAAGATAATCCCGCTGTACCTCCGGCACGCATCGTAGTAAACATTCTTGTTATTTTTCTTTATTTACGAATGAACTAGCAATTACAAGCTACCTCCTTACCGTGATTAAAAGATTAGGTATGTAAGCAAGAGGTTCAGCTGTCTGATAACGTGCTGCTGGTGTGTTGAACTGACACACTGAGACAAGCTGTCCCTGACAGATTTGTCATCAACTTCCCTTAATCAAGGGGGAGAAAAAGTTGAAAATACAATCGGGTAGTTTTTTTCTTTTTTAGGTTGTTGAAGGACAAAAGTTCCATTGAGCTGATGAGACGTGCATCCAGTGACACAAACCAATGGAGGGGTAATTAGAGATGCGAGACACAATGAACCCTCAAACAAAGAAACTGATCAACGAAGAGCATTGTTGAAGGAGGGAGAGAGAGGAAAAAGGAAGGAGGGAGAGAGAGGGGAAAGGAAGGAGGGAGAGAGAGTAATTGGAGTTGCAAGGGATGACTGATGGGGTATAATAATGGATGGAAAGTTGCAAGTGCTAGTGAGGTGTGAAGCTGAAAAGAGAGTGTCAAGTTGAGAGGGAAAAAAATCATCGTCCAGATCAATTTTTGGATAAAATGAGAAGAACTGTAATGTGAAGTCTTGTATCCCTAATTGTCAAGTGTTGTGGTATCCCCATATAATGTTCAGTGTTGTGGTATCCCCATGTAATGTTCAGTGTTGTGGTATCCCCATGTAATGTTCAGTGTTGTGGTATCCCCACACTTGTTCAGTGTTGTGGTATCCCCATGTAATGTTCAGTGTTGTGGTATCCCCACACTTGTTCAGTGTTGTGGTATCCCCATGTAATGTTCAGTGTTGTGGTATCCCCACACTTGTTCAGTGTTGTGGTATCCCCAATTAATGTTCAGTGTTGTGGTATCCCCATATAATGTTCAGTGCTGTGGTATCCCCACACTTGTTCAGTGTTGTGGTATCCCCACACTTGTTCAGTGTTGTGGTATCCCCATGTAATGTTCAGTGTTGTGGTATCCCCACACTTGTTCAGTGTTGTGGTATCCCCAATTAATGTTCAGTGTTGTGGTATCCCCATATAATGTTCAGTGTTGTGGTATCCCCACACTTGTTCAGTGTTGTGGTATCCCCACACTTTTCAGTGTTGTGGTATCCCCACACTTGTTCAGTTGTTTGTGGTATCCCCACACTTGTTCAGTGTTGTGGTATCCCCACACTTGTTCAGTGTTGTGGTATCCCCACACTTGTTCAGTGTTGTGGTATCCCACACTTGTTCAGTGTTGTGGTATCCCCACACTTGTTCAGTGTTGTGGTATCCCCACACTTGTTTAGTGTTGTGGTATCCCCACACTTGTTCAGTGTTGTGGTATCCCCACACTTGTTCAGTGTTGTGGTATTCCCCACACTTGTTCATGTTTGGTATCCCCACACTTGTTCAGTTTGTGGTATCCCCACACTTGTTCAGTGTTTGTGGTATCCCCACACTTGTTCGTGTTGTGGTATCCCCACACTTGTTCAGTGTTGTGGTATCCCACACTTGCTCAGTGTTGTGGTATCCCCACACTTGTTCAGTGTTGTGGTATCCCCACACTTGTTCAGTGTTGTGGTATCCCCACACTTGTTCAGTGTTGTGGTATCCCCACACTTGCTCAGTGTTGTGGTATCCCCACACTTGTTCAGTGTTGTGGTATCCCCACACTTGTTCAGTGTTGTGGTATCCCCACACTTGCTCAGTGTTGTGGTATCCCCACACTTGTTCAGTGTTGTGGTATCCCCATATAATGTTCAGTGTTGTGGTATCCCCATGTAATGTTCAGTGTTGTGGTATCCCCATGTAATGTTCAGTGTTGTGGTATCCCCACACTTGTTCAGTGTTGTGGTATCCCCATGTAATGTTCAGTGTTGTGGTATCCCCACACTTGTTCAGTGTTGTGGTATCCCCATGTAATGTTCAGTGTTGTGGTATCCCCACACTTGTTCAGTGTTGTGGTATCCCCAATTAATGTTCAGTGTTGTGGTATCCCCATATAATGTTCAGTGCTGTGGTATCCCCACACTTGTTCAGTGTTGTGGTATCCCCACACTTGTTCAGTGTTGTGGTATCCCCATGTAATGTTCAGTGTTGTGGTATCCCCACACTTGTTCAGTGTTGTGGTATCCCCAATTAATGTTCAGTGTTGTGGTATCCCCATATAATGTTCAGTGTTGTGGTATCCCCACACTTGTTCAGTGTTGTGGTATCCCCACACTTGTTCAGTGTTGTGGTATCCCCATGTAATGTTCAGTGTTGTGGTATCCCCACACTTGTTCAGTGTTGTGGTATCCCAAAATTTAAAGTTCAGTGTTGTGGTATCCCCATATAATGTTCAGTGTTGTGGTATCCCCACACTTGTTCAGTATTGTGGTATCCCCACACTTGTTCAGTGTTGTGGTATCCCCACACTTGTTCAGTGTTGTGGTATCCCCACACTTGTTCAGTGTTGTGGTATCCCCACACTTGTTTAGTGTTGTGGTATCCCCACACTTGTTCAGTGTTGTGGTATCCCCACACTTGTTCAGTGTTGTGGTATCCCCACACTTGTTCAGTGTTGTGGTATCCCCACACTTGTTCAGTGTTTGTGGTATCCCCACACTTGTTCAGTGTTGTGGTATCCCCACACTTGTTCAGTGTTGTGGTATCCCCACACTTGTTCAGTGTTGTGGTATCCCCACACTTGTTTAGTGTTGTGGTATCCCCACACTTGTTCAGTGTTGTGGTACCCCACACTTGTTCAGTGTTGTGGTATCCCCACACTTGTTCAGTCTTGTGGTATCCCCACACTTGTTCAGTGTTGTGGTATCCCCACACTTGTTCAGTGTTGTGGTATCCCCACACTTGTTCAGTGTTGTGGTATCCCCACACTTGTTCAGTGTTTGTGGTAT